AGGCAAATGATCGGAGTGGGAGTCAGAAATGTGGTCCTTGCGCGAGGGGAGCTCGATAGACTCGAGGGGCCAGGATACGCCGCGAGGAGGACGGAGTTGCGCCGAAAGGCGAAAGAAGCCGCGAGAACAAGGGACCGGCAGGCGGCAGCGTCGCAGGACGAGGCAGAAGAGAACGACGCGACAGAGGAGGAAGTGACAAGGGAGAGAACGACGAGGGTGGGACGACCGCGAGGTGGCATGAAGGTTGCAGCGAGAATCGGCGAGAGACTGCGAAGAGAGATAGGAAGAGGCAGACTCCCTAGGGTGGGCGACGGATAGCGCACCACACACCTCTCCTTAAAATCCCTGTGTGGTGGCGGCGTGCCGTCCTCCCATCCCTCCCTTGGGTTGTCTGTTTTCTTTCTTTCTTTTTCCGAGAGAGGGGGCGCTCCGCTGCTAGGGGAAACCTGGAGCGCGGACTAACCCTCGGAGAGTATTCTTTAGCTCCGAGTAGAGGGGGCGTTCCACAGCTAGGGGAAACCCGGAGGCTTAGGCTGAACAAGCTTTTCCTCTCGCACCCCGTCTGTTTTCCTTTCCTTTTTTCTCTACAGCACCCTCTCTTGGGAAAACTCCGTGGAAATCGTCAAATTTTGGGCTCTGAGCCGAGTCTGAGGCTGGTTTGGGCCCAAAATAAGCCAAATTTTAGGCCAAATCGGCAAAATGCCGGGAATTTTGCGGAGAACCCGTGTATACCTGGAATTTACCCTGCGACCGCCTGGGTATTTTGTCGATTTCCTCAATTTTGCCTCAGATTTTGCCCCAGACCAGCTCTCAGACTCAGGGAAACTCGCGAGTTTCCAGAATGGAGCACCAAACACCCTCTGTTTTCCCTGGAAATTTCCGGAAACGCAAAGTGCTGGGGACCCTTTGTTTTCCTTTTTGTTTGCCGGAAAAGCTTGTTCAGGCCAACCCGGAGCGCAGAACCAACCCTCGGGCCTCGGAGAGGTAAGGTAAGGTAAACTTCTCCACACACACGAGGTGGTGGGGCAAGGGGGGGCAACCCTCGCGTCTCCACGTCTAACGACAGGAGCCCCACGGCATTCAAAGTGCAAGGCCCGGTGCGCGTGGGTGACCCGTGTTATGGCCCTGCGAACGCGCACCCCCGGGGCTAGGGCGCTCTCTAGCCCGCAACCCGATCCCGATCATCCGGCCCGCTGAGCGCTGTGGGTGCGCTTCTCAGCTCCCCGGCCCTGGATGTGAGGCTGCTAACTGCACTCCAAGTGCTCCAACAAAACTCCCTCGCACAACACTGAGGCCTCGCAGCCCCCTGGCTTTGCACGGCAGACATCCGCGGTGGCTAGTGGGACACCTAGCTGCACAAATGGGCAACCAGCACTAGTAACGGTGAGGAGGATCCAAGGGCCGGTCTCCCGGAAGGAGTGGCACGTATCTTCAGCCCCCCCATGCGAGAGGGACCCCCCAGTGTTCGCGCTCTGAACCTTGATCCAGAGCCTGACCCCGCGGCGCGCCACGACACCGTGGCGGCTCGCACGCCGTGGGGGGGACGACCCCCATAAGCGCCGCAGGTACGCACAGCTCGGCCGGGATTGCGGCGCAAGCGCTCACTCACCGGCCGCGCGCAAGCGCGCGGCCGCGCCATCTCGCGCACGCGCGTCAGGCCCCAGCGTCGACTCGGCGAGCAGGATGGACCTTCGGCTGCGTGTCACCCCTAACAATGCAGATTCTGACCGTACCCGAGTTGCTCAATCTCTCGGTGCCGCTGCCAAGCCCTTTCGGGGACAGGGCGGTACTGCAGGTCTCACAGGGCTTCCTCGCATCTACTGGGATCGGCTCTGACGGTGGGCCGCTAAGGAAGGGAAGGAGGTCTGTTTCGCGCGTAGCGCGTCCCGAGAACATGTCGGCGCGTGTCGTCTCGCGCTCTGCGCGTCGAACTGCGACCAGACATTCCCCCCACCAATCCCCTGTCTAGAGGACACCGCGCGCAAGCGCGTCGGCTCCCACCCGGCCTAGAGGCTGCGGTTATGACCCCGCCGATGGACCGGACCGGTGGACCACCGACGGGCGCGCCCCCCACGACTATCTTGCCACCAACCCTCGGGCGTGGACCATTCCACCGACCCCGGGGCGTGGGCGGTCCCTCACCTGTGTGTGTCAAGACGGACGCGTGAGAGAGCGGGGGATGGGAGGGGCGGCGCACCTGCTCGAAGCTGCTCGTCGCCGTCAGCCGCGCCCGTGCCCGCGCCCAGAGGCGGTGGCGGTGGAGCGGCGGCGGTGGAGCGGCGGCGGTGGAGCGGCGGCGGTGGAGCGGCGGCGGTGGAGCGGCGGCGGTGGAGCGGCGGCGGTGGAGCGGCGGCGGTGGAGCGGCGGCGGTGGAGCGGCGGCGGTGGAGCGGCGGCGGTGGAGCGGCGGCGGTGGAGCGGCGGCGGTGGAGCGGCGGCGGTGGAGCGGCGGCGGTGGAGCGGCGGCGGTGGAGCGGCGGCGGTGGAGCGGCGGCGGTTCTTTTCATCGATGCAACCTCGCGTTCTTCCCACTCTCGTCGTTCTCTCTCCTGCTGTCTCTTCCCCTGACTCATCGCTCTCCTCGGCCTCGTTCTGAGACGCCGCTGCCGTCTGCCTTGCTCTCGCTGCTTCTCTCGCCTTTCTGCGTAACTCCGCTCTCCTCTCCGCGTATTTTGGTCCCTCGAGTTTATCGAGCATTCCTCGCGCAAGGACCACATTTCTGACTCCCACTGCGAGCATATCCCGCCCTGTCATGTCGTTGCTCAGGTCCACTCTCGTTTCGAGCACTTGTACCTCAACTGTCAGTGTTGGCACTGGGGTTCCCTTCGGTAGGGTGCCCACAGGAATCAAAAGAAAATAGCTTTCCGGCTCAAAAAGGGACGCACGAGGCAAATCTGATGTTGGAATGTTTCAATAGGAGAGAGGCCTCTTCCGTTGGGGGACCGAGTGACTAGGAAACGAGGGTTCCCCATTGTGTCCCGCTCCAGCACGAGCGTGACACTGCACTTGGCGCCGAGCGCCCGCGGCTCAGACCTTGTGCAAGCCACCCCTCATTGACCACGCCGGTCCGGACCGGTGGCGCTCGGTGTGGAGCAAGCAAGACCCCCCCCCCCCCCTCGGCGCGCGCTCGCCATTCCAACGGCCGCCAGGAGCACCAAGAGGACTCCTCATGGCTGTGGTCAAGTGGGCTTCGACCGGCCTCGGCTGGGGGGGCGGGTTGTCCCGGCTGCGGACGCGTTCTGCAGCCCGCTGGGCGTGGGTCAGCACCCCAAAACTGCCCCTCGGCGGCATACAGCACTGCCAGCCAGCCTCTTCCTCCTCCTAAGGGCTGTACTATAGGCCATATTGCGCCGCCTCCTACTGGCAGCCGGGCGGGCGCGCGCCGCGGGCGCCTCGGCGCGCGCACGGCTCGCAAAGTTCGAACGAGTACTGCCGCCCGGCCGCCTCAAGGCTGCCGGGCGGCAGTACTCGCCTCGCAAGGCGCGCACCAGCTGATCTGGCTGCTGCGCCGGCGGCCGCTGCGCTGGCCGCTGCTGCGCCGGCTGGCGGGCGGTACGGCCGCCGGCGGCCGCTGCACCCGCGCCTTCCCTCGCGGGCGCCGTCGCGCCGCGCGCGCCCAACTCTGCTGGTACACGGCACGCGTCGTCACACAGCCGCGGAGAATAGGCGGTGCAGCGCGCGAAGCGCGCGCGATCTCGTACTTTTAAGGCTGGATCCGGCCATTCAAGGGTACGTGGCGGTCGCCGGCTGAGTCGCCGTACACGGGCCGGTACCTCAGGCGTCACCTCCGCAGCCTCAGGTCTCAAACTCCACCACCTCCGCCGGGACACCTTCGGTGGCACGCTCGGCGGCGAGTTTGTTGCAGCCCCACAGCAAGCGCGGCGTCGAGCCTACTCACTCCCGTTGGTTCGGCACACTCGGTGGGGTCCACTGAGTGTGCCGAACGCGCGAGCGGTGCGTCCTGGCAGCCCGCGCTGGCTGCGGAGCTGCAACAAACTCGAGACACGCTTTTTGGGACATTTTCGACGCTTTTGGCCCATATATCCCGCGGTATTCCGCCGCTTCGCCTTCGTCTCCTTGCTGCGCAGCAGGGTGTAGTTCGGTCCCACCTCCGCCACGCTGTCCAGCAGCTGGGCGGCGCTCGCCATCTCGACCGCGTCGTCCTCCGGCGGAAGCTCCGCGTCGCCCGCGGCCGCTTCCCGAGCGCGCTCGTCGCGCATCCGCTCGTGGTGGGCCTGCCGACGCGCCACGTCGTCGCCCGTGTGCCTCGCCGCCGCGTCCGGCGACGGCATCAGTGCTGTCCGCCCGAGCGTGACTCGCCACTCCACGACCTCCACGACCTCCACGACCGCCGAAAAGCACGACCGCCCCAATCTCGAACAAATCTCGAGTCCTCTCACTAGTTACATACATACCTGGAAAAATCCCCGGGATGTTGCCGGTTTCCTCGATTTTATTTTGCCCCAGACCAGCTCTCAGACTCAGGGAAAGTCGCGAGTTTCCAGAATGGAGCACCAAACACCCTCTGTTCCCTGGAAATTTCCGGAAACGCAAAGTGCTGGGGACCCTCTGTTTTCCTTTTTGTTTGCCGGAAAAGTATATACAGGCCAAGTTAAAATGGCACCGATTTACGATTTTCCGCGCGCTGCGCGCGCCGAGCTGGAGCACGGCCACGGCGCCAAAAAAGTGCTTGCCGGAGTCCGTTTTCAGTGGACGGACACCCAAAACGACATTTGCATCGGCCGGGCGGACAAATTTAGTGCCTGGGAGCCCCTTTCAGAGCCTTCTAAGCCCTTCCTGCTACTTTTTGAGCTCGGGTGCGCTCTGCGATGATGTGAAAATTGTGACCAAAATCCGCTGTGATCAAGAGGAAGTAAAGCTCGTAAAAATCGCAGGAAAACGGGAAGGAAAAGGGGAGGAAACCCTTGGAAGGCCTACCTGCCGCCCGCCGGCTGCTCCCCTTCGCCCGGCCGGCTGCTCCCCTCAGCCAGCACCAGTCCCATGGCTGCTCCCGCCATACATCAGCGCTCCTGCAAGGGCGAGGACCGGGCGATGCACCTCACCGCCCTTGTTGGCGGCGAGACCGTCTGTCTCCTCGCCGTTGCAGACGGTCACGGCGGCCCTGAGGCGGCGCAGCTGTGCGAGGACACCTTACTGCAGACCATCGTCAAAGAGGCGGGTGCCGCCGACGCCGCCTCGCTGCAGGCGGCGTGCTCCCGCGCCTTTGCGACGGTGCACGCAGCGGTGTGCGAGAGAGAGAGCGCCGATGCTGGCGCGTGTGTGACGGTGGTGGCGATCAACGAAGGTCGAGGCGAGGTGACGTGCGCACACGTGGGCGACTCGTCCGCCCTCCTCGTCGAGGAATCGGGACATCGACCCCTGACCGCCGAGCACCGGCTGAGCAACAGCCCCGAGGAGCAGGCGCGCGTCGTCGCCTGCGGCGCCCGGCTCGCCAAGGCGCGGAGCGACGACGGCTACTTTGGGGTGGGGCCCATCCGCGCCTGGCCCGGCGGCCTCGCCGTCTGCCGTACCGTCGGCGACGCTGACTGCGCCTACGTCGACCCCACGCCGGTCGTGTGCACTCTCGCATTCGAGCGGCCGGGCGGCGCAAAGGTCATCGCCTGCTCGGATGGCGTCTGGGATGCCCTCTCGGAAGAGCGCGTGGCGAAGCACGTCCGCGCCGCCGCCACGCCCGCCGATGC